GTGGGCCCAAGGTGCAGTGACTTCTTTTTTTTTTTTGCTCAACAACTTTAGTCCCCCCAGCCTTTTATTTTTGCTCAACCAATTTTTTTCCCTGCCATGTTTGGGATGTTTTGTGAAAGTATCTGGCAACCCTAAGTACAGGCAATCTGGTTTAATAAATTAGGCAACCCTCTCACCATGACCAAGAGTCTTTCTTTTGGAAAAGCCTCTGTTATTCAAGATCCTTCTCTCTTCCAAATTCAAGAGGATTTCAGATTGTATCACCTGTGTAGGAAGGTGTCTCTGCACCACAAGCAATGTCATTGAGGATGGAGTTATAAAACAGGGGACGGTGGCAAGACACCGGGACGGCGTTAATTCCCCCCATCGCAAACACGCAAAGGTACCTCGCAGTAGTAACAGACAGCACTGCACGTCAGTGTTACATTCCCCTTCTTCTGGCTCCCAACTGCTCAGTCTTAACATCGAAAAGAGTCTATGCAGACCTCTGACATCAAAAGAAAAGAAAACATGGAGCACTTGGAACTCCACAGGAGAAACTGGAATATTGCCCGAGACTTTGAAACAAAGGCAGTTCTTGAGAAACAAATGTTTTTACTGGACTGATCCTGTACTACCCCTAACCAAACACCACATGCAGCTTACAACGATTTTAATAGTTTCAACACTTCACTTTGACTGGTACCTTCCCCGACAAGGATCTTTATCAACAAGAGCTTAGACCAGGGGTGGGAAATAAATGGCTTGTGGGCCAGGCACCGTTCACCAGGCTTAGCCCCAGGAGAGTCACCCGACTCTTCATTCACCTATGTGTCTGCAGGTATGGCCAATTCACATTGACCATGGTTCACCGTTCCCAGCCAATGGGAGATGCAGGAAGTGCCACAGACTTAGGTCACCACTTCCTGCAGCTCCCATTAGCTGGGAACGGAGAACTGTGGCCAATGGGAATTGCAGAGGAGCAGGTGAATGAAGCGTCCGGCAGCCCGCCAAGGGCTAATGCTGATGAACTGTGTCTGGCCCTCAAGCTGCTTATTGTCCACCCTGGGATTGACCAACATCCATGATTTCTGGAAGACTGAGCCTGGACAGCCCATAGAACGGAGGAAAACAGCAAGGCTGTAGGTAGCGGGTGTTGGCTGGGGAAGTATTGCTGACAGAAGTGTTGGATGAGAATCCAAACTCAGGTCTTGATGACTGTCTGTTGTTGTTCATTTTTCAATCATGGGCTTCATTTCTCGAGGGGCCTGTGGACATTAATTGTCCCCTGACTCAAAACTAGGGATATCCACTCCAGTGTCGTGCCCAAAATCTGGGTTGGTTAATTACATCTGCCTACTCGCCTGTCCTCTGTCGTTCCAGCTGGCTCATCTTCATGCCCATTCTAAACTGAGCAGTCTACTTTTGAAAAGTGCCATGGTTACCACGGAGATGGCAGCACTTCAGCGGTGGGTCAGGTTCCATCGACACAACTGTGCAAAATACATTCCTGATCCTACTCTTTTTATATTAGCAGTATTTCTCTTGCTAAAGGAGAGCAGGGTTAGATCCAGATATCCAGATGCTTACATGCTATTCTGCAAATTATAGCTCTAAGTGGCAACTAGAAATGGACAAAACACATAGGACAGGCTTACCCTAGATCTGGCAGCTCGGCTTAAAGTATGCAACTGCAGCTATGTAGAATATGTAGCTGCAATTAGCTAATCTCAAGATGAGTTTGGTGGCATCCCCACAATGGGAGGTTCCCTTTAACACTCCCATTGCCTTCCCTTACTCATCACGAAGGGAGGAGTACCAGATGCTGGCGGGGGAGCCCTCTGCGTTCAATGTAGTGAGTCTTAGCTAGACTGGCTAAATCAAACTCCAGAAGATCGAACGCAGCAGCAACAATCTTCCTTTTAGTGTAGACAAGGCCACAATGTGTTCCATTAAGTTAGTCCTGTCTTCTGTTTGCACGTTATCCATGAACAGACTTATCTTATTATGAATTTGCTCATTGTTCAAATGTTTTATGTAAGCAGCTCTCTCAGTTTGAGGTTCATTTGCAAACTATTTGCATCCACTACACCTTTTCACGGTTTGCGCTTTGTTATTCTTGGTGTGTGATTGGTCAGCTAAATCTCACATGGTATAGTTTGTAATCCCTAATTGGATATATGAAACTCTTAATCAAGCAGAAGAGGAAAATGAAGGTGGGTTCAGGATCGCTGTGTGATTACTTCTAACGAGAGTCTTCATGCAAACACATATTTGCAGGAGCATTTGCAAGTCTTCATTTTCCGCAAACATCCTTCCAAACAAGTATAAATGACCTTTGTGAATATTCACGAATGGGAAGGAAGGGTGGAATAATGGTTAAGTCACCGACCTGGTACTGGGAAGACCTACATTCACGTTGCTGCTGCCATGGATTTCCTGTGAGACTTTGGATAAGTCACACAGGTCCAAATCCTCGAAACCATTTAAATGTCTAACTCACATTGAAATCACTGGGCCACTTTTGTGGATCTGGGCCTTAGTGTCTCTGTGCCAGTTCCACATTTGTCAAATGTAGCACCTATAAAAGGCTCCTTCCTACCTCACAGGCTAGACGTGAGTATAGATACATTAGACTGCTCAGATGCCGTGATTACGAGAGCTACATAAACACCGTAACGAGACTGCTCGCAGCAAACACATAAAACAGGTTGTGAATCAGCCAGACGTGAGGGGAGGACGGAGGGCTAGAAAGGAAGTCTGAGAGTCCCATTTATATATTTATTTATTGTGCAGTACTCTCCTGTCTCTATAGCAACAATGGGCAACCGAGGCGAGTGAATGGGCCGCACGAGTGGCCCTCCTTCATCTCCATGGGCCACAAGATTGTCGTAACGAAGGTGGTCTCCCGGGATAGAGCAGTTGTGCTAATTGCACTTGCGTACCTTGAATTTGTGGGGCGTGCCCATGGGTGGTAAGTGAACCTAGGGCCGGGGGAGAGAAGCCTCCCAGCCCTGCCCCTGCCTCCAGAGTCCAGCCATGGAAGCTAAACCCCACCACTATGGGGCAGGCCCCACGTGGGCAGTGCATGGCCCCAGAGCACAGGGAGGATGGGTACCATCAGCCTTGCCAGCCCTGGAGCATGAACAGCCCCAGCGTGGGCATGGCAGAAGACTGGAGGGAGCCATGCTGAAGCAGGGTGGGGTGGAGGTTTGGGAGCGGTATGTGGGCGGGGCCACACCGGGCAGTTTGAGAAGGCAACGCCTTCCCTTGCCTCTGATACCCACCGTCCACGGAAGTGCCGATTGAACCGTAGCAGCGCTTTGATCAGATGCAGAGAGAGTACATGAAGCTCACGGTCAATGTGGTGTAAAATCAGCACACACCTCATGTCATGGGCCCTGGCTTTACGTGCGTGGCACTTCAGCAATACCGGTCGGGAAAAAAAGTATGTGGCTTGAAAGCAGCAGAAACTAGCAACCCTGCATGTGAGCAATGGGAAACAAAACTTCTTGCAGGCCACACATAGGACCCCGATGGTCCGAGGGGTGCAGCTTGCCTACCACGGCTTGATAGCTTTGAAAACTCACTGAAGCCAATGGAAACCTTTTCACTGACCCCACCTCGGTTTGGATTAGGCCGAAGTACTACACAAATGTGAAGCCTTATATGTTCTGACATTCTGTGGGAATGACTCTCCCTCCTCCCCCCACTGGCTCAAGTGACACCACCTGGTATTTTTGCAAGGGCACGTGGCAAATGGCAGAGAAAGGGGTCATTGAAGTGACCCAAAAGCTAAGTGACATGACCCAGAGCTGGAAGAATGGTTCAATGTGTGAATACCTCACAGCTAACACGTTTCAAAATGTTTACACAGGGATTGCCATAAACCACACTGTATTGAACTGAGGATGCAATCCAAGCTGATGTAGCCCAGGCCTTATCTGCACCATATAATCATGGTACAGGATACAGACACGCAGGTAGTGCGACAGGAGAGAGAGAGAGAGAGAGAGGTAAAGACCGTTTCCCTTCCAGCCTTCTCTTGACACTGGGAGGGGACTGTGGGGGAGTTAGGTAATCATTTGTCACATCAAGGTCCTGGGGTTGTCTCTCTTTGCAGAGGAAACCTTGGCCATGATTGACAGCGGGGCTGTTTGGACCTGTTCCGTTGCTGTTGACAAATAATAATGAAGCTTTGTCAAGCCATAATGGATATGGATATGCCAGATTATGTGGAATCCCTGGACTCCTCTTACACCATGCTGGAGTTTGAAAACCTGCGGGTGCTGCCACCAAACACTGGTGAGATTTCTGCTCAATTCCTCTTACATAGCCCGTCACCTTTGCAGAAAAGTTGGACTCCTAGGAAAGATAGATAGGCGGTGCAGGGCAAAGGGTGGAAGGGGCAATCTTGAAGCCGATGAACCTTTGTTGCGGCTGTGGTTGTGTTCAAGCCAGAGTATGATCTTTCTCTGAAAGGCTGACATGCGATGGTGGTGCTTTGAATGGCTTATTCCGCATCCCAGTTGTCTAGGTATAGTGCAAATAAAGACCCTGCCCAGAAGAGTTTGCAACCGGTTGTGAACAATTTCAATATCTGTGGTGTTCTGTAATATGAATTCTGTCTTATTTCTAAGGAGGAGGAAAATTACTTCACACACCAAGAAAAATTGTTCTCTGACAATGACGTATGTTCTCTGACAAACGTATGGTGGGAAAAAATGTCTGTATACGTAGTTGGAGCAATTTCATCCTTATAACCACCATCTTTGTTGTTACTCATAAAATATGCTGTGAACTGGGGCTGCTTATTCAAAGGTACTTAGCTAGTAAAATAACTAGACAAATGGTCGGATCACCTACCTAGGAATTGCAGTTCATTTTTAACTTTACTAAGCTTGATCCAAATCTTTTCAACACACAAAGGCACTTGGCTGTAATATGTTCTTGACCCCAGCCACCATCTGCCTTGTTCATAGAACTCCAAGAAACATGCATCGCGGTATATAGGACTACAACATTCAGAAGTTTGTTTGATGTTGTTTTAATAGTAAACACTCTCTACAAACATTAGTCGTCTATTTCCTGGAATGTGAGGATGGACATTGTAGATTATGCAGCATAAGGCCAACCTCATAAATAAAAGTGGTTAAAACAATTAGTCCAGCCTGCGTGGATAGGCTAAGTAAGTAAAATGTCAAGAGGCTTATTTTAGTTAAGATTAATTTCTTACTGCATCACTTCTACTTACTCATTAGTGGTTTCATCAAAAGGAAATCAGGAATAATAGCGTTTCAGAGTGTGTTTTGCCAAGAACTCAAAGTTATTATGCAGGCTTACGTGAGACACAAAGGATTTCAGATCCTCTGTCCAAAAGAAAATGAAAAGGCCCAAAAGAAAATGAGAACTGTAAACTGTTCTCAAGGAAAGTTCTATGCACATCCCTTGGAAAAGGACTTTTGAAAAGTTTGGCAGCTCAAAGCTGAGTCTATCGGACTTCATGTTATTGTCACTGAACGGATTCTATTTGCTACCGTGCGTTATTCGATAGAGACATTTTGCCCTGTCATTTTACTCTTGAACAAGATACATTGTTTTTATCCATTGCACAAAATGTCCCCAAATCCAATGTAACTGTGACATAAGCCCCTGAACTTTTGAGTTTTTTTCATTATGTGAAAATTACAGGCTTGTTTTTTTTCCAAAGGCTATCTAGTTTGATATTGGGCTATTTGCCTTATTGTTAATGAATAACTGGCTCTCCCGGGAACTAGCTGTTTTGAAATTAGCTTGTTTGTCTTTGGTAAGTAGCCTCTTCTACAATTTGTAAGAATAATTTCAAAAAGAGAGGTAAAATCTCTACCCATGAAAATGTTCCCAAACCTACAGTGTTTAGGATGCATAGCTTCCTCATCAGACAATTTTAGCAATGTTTTTATGAGGTATTAAAATAGCAAAATAGTCTCACTTTAGATAATGCTTAAAAAAAACAGGGAATGAGTTCAAATTAAATATATATTAATTTATTTAGGAGCCTAGTTTGTCCCCTGAAACAAATGGAAATTGGGCCCTCAATTTCAGCAGAAATAGGATAGAATAGGATCGTGTCTTCAACATATATATATAGAGAGAGAGCTTGCAAGATTCTGATCTTCTTTACAGTAGTATAAATACAATGACTTCAGTGGAGTCACTCCTAATTTGACCTGGGGTAAATGAGAGCAGAATCAGGCTCTTAATCTTCTTTCTAAAATCTACAAATCACTTAATGAAATTTAATGGCAGCAAGTTGAAAATGGAGAACAGGAAATACTGGGTCCTTTTGCAATTTATAACTAACCTGTGGAACTCACTACTGCAAGATATTATAGAAGCCTTAAGTGATTATGTTTTTTTTAAATATAAAATATAAAGATATATTTAAAAATAAAATGGGTAATTTATACTTAAATTAAAAAGAAAAAAAATAAAATTAAAAAAATAAAGGTTCCCAGTCCCCATATTTCAAAGCAAAAAATGATCAAGAATTAAGAAAAGGTACTTATTTCCTTTGTGAAATAAATTAATATACTATATTTGGGTGGAATAGTTCTTTGAAACATATAATGTTAGTGATTCTCAGGCCATGTCTTTACTAAATGGAAGATGGATGCTGCTGTGATCCATCTTCTGGAGTTTGATTTGGTGAGTCTAGTTAAGACTTATTAAATCAACTCAGAGGGCTCCCCTGTTGAGGGTCCGTACTCCTACTACTCCAAGGAGTAAGGGAAGCCAATAGGAATATTTGGTCCCATTGGCCTCCCACTGTGAGGATGGGTGAGGGGGACACGAAAAAAAGTACATCAACTCCAGCTACGTAATTAATGTGGCTGGAATTGCATATTTTGACTTGGCCTCCCAGTGTAGACCTGTCATAAGGGAGAGAGGATACCAGACGAGCAGGAACATTGGTCTGTTCCAGTATGGCAGTGGTAGAAAGTGTTTCTTAATGGTTAAAATCATCCTAGTTTTGTGTTTGTATGTTTACAGTAGCTATGGGTAAAAGGTTATGTTCAAGGTAGCTGACTGTAGTTGTCTGTTCTTCTGTGTTAAGCTGGTGGAATTGGATACTTGTCAAATACTGTAGCAATATCAGAAGCACCTCTTGAAATTTGGCTTGCCTGTAAAATCAGTATTTTCTTTATACAGCTTATCAAATATAAATTGTACCCATGAGCTAATAAGTGGGCAATAAGTTAAGTGGAGCTAGTTAACCAAAACATGTATATATATCATGACAAACTCTAAAAGAAATGAACATTTTTATTTATTTCAAATAGTTATGTGATTTTAATGAGCTATTTCGAAATAAAATATTAGAATTTTTAAAAAATTGTATTTTTAATTTTCCTATGGAAAAAACGATCTTGTCTTGCTTTTCTATCTCTTTGGGAAACAGGAGGAGAAGCAGAAAAGCAAGAGAGAGAATTTTTCCCAATGAGAATTAAATATTTGTCGAAAATGGGAAATTTCAAAGAAACTAGCTTTTATTGTGCAAAAAAGTTTGATTTGTCATTAAAATCTGCCATTGATCAATTTTAACCAACTCTTAGGTTAACCCTACTTACTTAGCTATGATAATTTCCGTTTACGTAAGAGAAGCCTATGAATTAATTCTGAAAGGGTGCATCTACATTGCACCCATAGCTCAAAATAAACTACGCAATTTGAGCAACATAAATTGCATAGCTTATTTCAAGTGAGTTTTGAAAAAGCTTATTTTAAAATGTGGCATTTCGAAATAAACCGCTGTTCCAAAATGTCCCTTAATCTTCGTGGAACAAAGTTTAGCGAAATAGCAAGCCCATTATTTCGAAATCTATTTCGAAAAAATGGGCTTCTTTAAAAGACACGGAATAGCTATTTCGTGATACTGGAAGAATCCTGAAATAGCGCCACAGTGTGGACATACCCAATTTTCAGTTTTCTTTGTACTTTTATATATGCCTGAGAAATGTGATGAACATAGCAATGCTTAGTTCAGAAATGAAGAAAGGAATATGTTGCAGGAGTAGAAGAGAGCATTAACATTTTGTCCACTTCAGATAGAAAGAATATCACAAAAAAAAAAAAAAAAAAGGAGGCGGGGAGAGGGAAAATCAATGTTCGCTTTTTCTTTTCTTTATAAACTACCTGTTCTTTTAGTGCCAACAGGAAACACTGAACCTAGGACCTCTGGAGCTTAGTGCATGAGCATCTACAGCCTGAACTAAAATCCGGCTGCCGCTCAGCTAAGGCTGCAGAGCAGACTCATTCTTTCTCTCTGTAAGTGGTCTAAGTGCCACTCTATAGGGCAGTACCACACCCAGTAGGTGTGTTAATTACTTTTAACTGGAGAAATATTCCTGCTTGGTACAATCCTGTTTACTTTACCTTGGCTACAATTGCGTCTATTTTTTTCCTCGTAGTCCTTTATGTGGTGCTATTTTTACCCACGCACTTTCTGGGTGTGGTTCACTGTCCCATGTAGTGGCACTCACGCCACGTCCAGAGAGAAAGAATAGGTCTGCTCTACAGCCTGAGCTGAGAAGCAGCTGGCTTTTAGCTTAAACTGTAGAGGCTCAATGCACTAACCTCCAGCGGTCCCAGGTTCCATTCCACCCGTCAGCGTAACACTCCAGCACATCAGAGATTTCAATACAGTTACAATTTTTCTTGTAAATTTATACTAATCACTTTGCCAATTGCACTATAAATAAGGCTCCCATCTGTGGTGATGTTCTTTTATCTGTCATAGCATTCAGCCACCAAATTGTCTTACTCTTAAAGCAGGGGTGGGGAACCCCAAAACAAACCAAAACAAACCCTCATTGATGTGGCCCCTGACTGAGGAGGAAAAGGAAACTCCCCACGTTCCCCACTCCAGAGCCTATGGGGGTCCACACTAGTAGATTTTGTGTGTTCCAGTTAAGGGAGCCCACACTAGTAGATTTTGTGTGTTCCAGCCCTGGGATGCGGCAGGGGAGGACTGTAGCACCAGCAGTGGGTTCCTTGATGCCGGAGGCTGGATCCAGGCAAGGCAGGGGCCCCATCTGGCCCCTGGGTGTAAGGTTCCCCACCCCTTGAAGAGTTCAGCTTGCCCCTATTAAAATCTCACTCTCAGCCAAGCAGCAGTCTGACCCTTGTGTAGTCATCGTTAAGGCCAAGTCCAGCTAGTGAAGATAACTATAAAGCAATAAGAAATGTTTTGCCAGTCAGAGGGTATGTATGTCTGCATGTTCCACAGTCTATCCATCTGCTTGTAAGAAGATTTACTCATGCTCATAGGTCTCTGCTAGGTCAGATACTGTGTGGATTTAGGAACAATTAATCTAAATTGATTTTGATCTTTAAAATCCTTCAGCTTCTTGGAGGTTGCAAAGCTGATTTATAACCTATGTGAATTGCATCAGAGCAACATTACATTGCAAAATCTGAATTTGCATGGCACCATTTTGGAGCTGACAATAGTACTCACATTTTTGTGTGCCCCCAAATTTAGATTTACAAATGGAAACTGCAAATCTGGCACATTTTACATCAGTTTTAGTGTGTACAAAATTGGCAACTAAACACAATGCACCCCTTTGGAATATGCATCTTTTCATACATCACTTTAGGTGCATATACAGTTTTTAAAAAGGTGACCTATTATGTCTTTACAGTTATCTAAGTCCTGCATGGGGCCTGGAAGGAAGACTTTACCTATTAACCTTCTTTAGGTATCCACTTTATCATTAGTGGAAGTAGATCTTTAAAGCAAAATTTGGATCTCAAGTGAATTCTGAGCCCAAGTACAAATTTTGGGGCATTCAAACCTTGGATGTTGATAAAGGCTCATTTTCCTCTTTATGTATTGTTTGTATTACAGTAGCATGCAATGGCCTCCCCTCCAACTCATCGGAAAGGCTCATTTTCCTTTTTATGTATTGTTTGTATTCCAGTAGTATGCAATGGCCTCCCCTCCAACTCATCGGATGACATGGTGCTTTCTACTTTTGTTAGTCTCAAAGCTTGGTCTACACTGGGGCTTTATTTTGAAATAACTCGTCACTCTAGGTCAAATTTATAAGTGGAGCATCCACATTGCTAAGCCCGTTACTTTGAAATAACGGGCCATGGAATTTGAAATCTGTACTCCTGCTTTTCATCGGGAATAACGCTAATTCTGAAATAGTTATAGTGAAGTAACAGTAGTGTGGACATGCCAGTGCCCCTATTTTGAAATAACTCCCTCTCAGAGAAATTCAAACTAATTATTCCCCAGAGCTTCCTGGCATTCTAAGTCCTAGGTAGCGTGTCCACATTAACGGAACCTGATTCACACTAATTTTGAGGTTTCCCCCTAGTGCGAACATGCTAGTTCGCTTTTGTTAAATCAGGAGTTAAGTTGAATTTACTAATTTCAAAATAGTTTCCTAGTGTAGACATGGCCTAAGGTGCCACAGGACCACTCATTGGTTTTAATGGTCTTCACCACCATCTGAGCCCCAAACTAAATAAACAAAACTAAAATGTTGTGGGGGGGGGGGGGGGGGGGGGGAATGTGCAAGATGAGAAATTAAATCTAGGTAGCATAAGTCTTACAAGGAGCAGTAGCTAAGTAATTAAGGCCCTCGACTGCAATCACAAAAGTCATGGATTTGTTTCTTGCTCAGACTCACACTGAATCCTGCTCACCCCCCTGCAGAATGGGTACCAGATCCCTAAGGCTTGGGAAGTCACAGATGGTTAGACGTGATGGTAGGTGCATCGCTCCCTTGCGTATTGTTGGTTGTGGGAACAGACCTGTTGAATCATATCAGAGAGAAAAGCCATTTAAGGCAAGCTGTGATCTTCAGTCTCAACCACAAGACCACCCTTCCTCTCCTTTGCTATAACTGCGTAATTTAATGTCTTTCTTTCAGCCATGCTTTGCTATTGACTTTTACACAGAATTGACTTACTGACTTATACACCGAATAGACCAGTGCTCATTTCTGGTCTCCCATCTAGACCTGCACTTTCCTGACTGAGGGTTTCAGACAATTTTTTAGATATTAGGCTAGGCTATAAATTTCCAGATCTTATGTTGATGATACATGCCATCTGAATCTCAGGCAAGTCTTGGACTTTGAGAGTAATTTTTCTGCCAGACAATTTTGGCAGTGAATACATTTCAGTGATGCTCCCTGAGAGTAGACTGATGTTTTGATGCAATGACCCTTTTGTTCTGCCCAGAAACCATCCAGAACTAGGATCAGCTTTTCAGACTGTATCTAATGATTAGTCTTTGTTTAGCAAGAAGAATGTAGCTAATGGAGTTTTTTCAAAGCCCAACAGATGTCTCACAGGAAAAGTGTATGACAAGTTTTGTTTAAAGACAATACGGTGATATGATGGAGACAAGCAACTATAACTGTTACACAATGCTGTGATTTTGTACTTGATATAGGTCCTCTAGTGACGACGTATCTCTGCCTTTCTTTCAGTCCAACCCCAAGCAACCCCACATAGATGTAGGTTGGAAATCCAGATCAGGTCCAATGTTTGCAACGTGAGCACGTTGTCTGGTAACGTTTTCATGAAAACAGGACTTTTTTGCTGTTCATTTTCTCCTCCGTATTCAGAGTCAGTCGGTAGTTTGTGACAGAGGTATAAATAGTGTTTTGACATCTGTACTTACCCTGGCTGAACTGCTAACTACTGACAACCAGATCACTATTATCTTCTGAATAGGACACGTTATTGCACACGGTGACCTGGACTTTGGACTGAGTTACACTGCATTGGGTTAATGAATCCCAGCCTAAGTTACAGCTCCATAATTCTATTCAAGTCAGTGGTGTTTTTCTGGGTGTAAATTAGGGCAGAATTTGATCCATTAACTTCAAATAAATTGAATCATGAAACTTCTGAGATGACCTATGGGTGTTTCAGCCAGAGGGAGACGCTGTGATGAATCATGGGAGGTATAATCTGGCCAGAACTGCAAGGACAGGGCCTCCAGAACTACAGCCCTCACGAGGCAGAGATTAATGTCAACTTGAAACAAAACAAAATGTTTAATTTTCATTTTCCCAATGGAACATTCTTCCAACTTGTCTCATGGAAACGTTTGATTTTGATGAAACCTCCTCTTCCAATGAGAATTGTTCATTAACAATTTTTTTTTGGCCAGTTCTAATGATCATGAACAGTCTGGCTATATTTAAAAAAACAATAGTCGTTCTTTGTATATAAAGGGCCAGATTCTGCTATACTTACTTTAAGTAAAGCCTTGTTCAGTGAAAATCACTGGAACTGCTGTTGAGGTGAGTAACGCTAGAAGAACTGGGCCAAAAAAATATCTAAAACCAAGCACTGAAGCCTTAGCCTGAGCAAAACTCTGAGGCCTGGTCTACATTACATGGGAAGGTCAAAGTAAGATATGCAAATCTAGCAATGTAAATTATGTAGCTGGAGTCAGTGTATCTTACATCGCATTTCTGTGCTGTCCACACAGCAGGAGGCCAACAGGAGTAAATGTTTCCATTGGCTTCCCTTACTCCTCATGCGGAGCAGGAGTACTGGTGCTGACATAGATGCCCTTTGAGTTCAATCTAGTGGGTTGGATGCCCTTTGAGTTAATCTAGTGGGTCTATACTATATCCAGTAAATCGAACCATGGAAGCTCAACCACTGCAGCATCTATCTTCGGTATAGTGTAGACATGCACTCATTAACTCAGGGTCAAGTAGTGAAACCCTTACTCACATTGTGAACAGTTTCTCACCTAGTGACTGCCACACAATTACTCTTGGGCGTAAAAGCTCTCTGGGGTTTCACAGTCTAGCCTTTTGATGGGATATTAGCTTTTAAGAACTGGGCTCTACTGAAAACCAAAAAGCCCTCTGGATCCAAATTCTGTCCTGAGTTGCCTTGCTCCAACTCCTCTGAAGTCAATGTAGGCTGCATGGGTGTAACGAAAAGAAATGGCTTCCTTAATTATAATTTTTGTCGTGCAATTGTTTTTTTTACTGGAACTCAAAATCAAATAGCCAATGAGACTGTTTATTGCAGCCAGGGTAACCATATGCTTTCCCAGCAAAGAAGTAGGTGGATTGTGAAGCTGTATTGACATTTAGCTAATATTGACAACATACAGCATACTGGAGATATTGTTCCAATGGAGTTCATTCTATGTTGAACACTCACAAATGTAAGACTGGCAAGATGAATACAAACTTGGGTTATCTGCTGCCTAAGGGCTTTCCCTTGAGAGAAAATGAGCACCTTCTCCAAAATGCTGACCATTCACCACCTATAGACATCAGTGAAAGCTGAGGGCACTGCACCCCATAGAATTTGAAAAGTAGTGAATTGCTATTTCTGCACATACTATTGGCTAAGGATTATGCACATACATATTGTTATTATTACAGGCTGAACTTCTCTAGTCTGGCATCCTTAGGACCTGACCACAAACTATGTACTCCACTCAAAAACTGGGCAATTCTTATTGCAGAAAATTAATTTTTCTCATTGTATCCAGGGGTAAAATAAACAGATACAGGTGGAACCTCTCTAGTCCTGGACCACAGGAGGACAGTAATGTCTATCAGCATGACCAACATTTCTTCTGCTTACTGTGCTCTGAGAAGACATTTAGGGGTAAATTAGAGCTAAATAACAGCACAGAACACTGAGAGCCAAGACTGGTGGCTGTAAACAAACTTTATGAGACCACGGGAAACTTGGCTCCACCCCTAATAAATGGATACCCAGATAACTAAAACTATGCTGGACCACAGAAGTTGCAGACATCTGGACTACAGAGATTCAATCTGTATTATGCTATCTTTTATCCCACATCCCATTCTATGGCTTACTTGTTTGCCTCATCCATCTGTTATACCTTGTCTCTTAGCTGATAAATATTTTGGGGCCAGTGCTGTTATTTATTATGTTTATACAATATCTAGCATATTGGGGCACGGACCTATTTGATCACTAAGTATTACCACATAATAAATAGCAATTAAGTCATTAAAGCTGGTAGAAATGTATTGGGTGAAAAAGGAATTTTGATAAAAATATATAGCTTTTCATCAAAAACAAATGTCATGTTGGAATTTTTGGTAAAAAAAAATTCAATTTGCAATAAAAATGTTTGGATTTTTGGTAAAAATGTTCAGTTTTTGAAAACTAAAGGCTTTTAGATTTTTACGGGACAAAATTTTTTTCATGTGATATTTTGATGACAATGAAGTACATTTCTTTTTAAAATATCACTTATAAAACAATCTGGAATTTTCTGACTAGCACTGATAGTCATCCAGTATAACTGGGAAGAACCAGATCCTAATTGTATGCATTACAGATTTGCAAGTATTCCAAGTTTTAATTGAAGATTAAGATTGAAGATCCAGAAAACATGATTTATGAAGGATTAGGCCTCAGATGGAGTAGTGTGTCTAGCTCTGGGTACCAGAGGAAAGATGTGGAGAAATTGGAGAAGGTGCAGAGAAGAGCAACAGGAATGATTAAAGGTCTAGAAAACATGACCTATGAGGGAAGACTGAAAGAATTGGGGGTTTTTAGTTTAGAAAGAAGACTGAGGGGGGCATGATAGCAGCTTTTAAGTACTTAAAAGGGTTGTCACAAGGAGGAGGGAGAAAAATTGTTCCACTCAGCCTCTGAAGATAGGACAAGAAGCAATTGGCTTAAACTGCAGCAAGGGAGGTTTAGGTTGGACATTAGGAAAAACTTTCTGGAACGGCAGTTACGCACTGGAATAAATTGCCTAGGGAGGTTGTAGAAAATCCATCACTGGAAAATTTTAAGAGCAGGTAAGAGAAGCATGTGTCAGGGATGGGAGATGGTGCATGGTTCAGCCATGAGATCTCTTGAGGTCCCTTCCAGTTCCAGCATTCTATGATTCTTTTCTTCAGTGACCCATGTTACCTCTTCCTGTTCGGGTCTGCTTTCCTCTCTAGGGTTTTCTCCCTCTTCAGCATACTATAAACTGAGGTTCTCCCCACCCCACACTGATTTGATCCTGGGAGGTGCTGAATGTCCTCACATCCTGTACATTTTGATGATCTCACCACATAATGGAGTCAGGCAGCAGACACTGCTGGGCCACGAACCGCTGGTTGCCGGGCCACGGCAGCTCTGGGAAGCTGGGGGACACGGCCCAGCGCCACCCCTTCCGCCGCAGCTCTCAGGAGTGGTGTGTCCTGCCCTGCCTCTCAGCTCCGGACAGCAGCAGAGTTCCTCCTGGATGCAGAAGAGTGGTTTGCTGTGTGGTGGGAGGGCCGCGTGGAGCCTGGCACAACAGCCTTAGAGCAGGCGCAACCCGGGCAGGAGCGCTCAGCTGGCAGCTGGGAGGCAGCGCAGGACTAGGTGAGGGGGGTGGGGCAGGCATTGAGGATTATGGGGCGGGGCTAGTGCTGAAGGACTCTGGGGTTGGAGGGCTCTAAGAAGCGGGGGGCAAGTACTTGGGGAGCTCTAAGGAGGGAGGGGCTCTAAAAGGTGAGGGGCTGACACTGGGGGGCACTGGGACATCTCGGGAGGGGAGCTGGCATTGGGCACTTCGGGGGTGGGGCTAGTCGTATGGGCTATGTGAGCAGGGCTGGCACTGGGGGGCTCTGTGGATGGGGCTAATACTGGGAACTGGGAGCTGGAACTGGGGTGGGGTTCTGGGAGGTTGGGTGCAGTGGGGTTCTGGAAACAGGAGGCTGGCACTGGGGGTCTGGTGGTAGTGGAGCTCTACAGGGTGGGGGGCAGCCACTGAGGCATTTGGGATGGGAGGCTGGCACTGAGGGGCTCTGAGCGCAGGAGGCTGGCATTGGGGGGTTTTGGTGCCGGGGACTCTGGGTCAGTGCCTGGTACTGGAGATTATTGGAGGGGTTGGAGACTCTAGGGATTAGGTCTTGTGCTGGGGGGCTTAGAGGGTTGGGGCGTACCCTAGCCCTGGCCCCCAGAGCTGCCACGAACTGCCAGCGTCATCTGCAGCAGCCACCTGCCATGTGGAGACTGCCAGAGCTGAAGCAGGCTGTTCTCAGCGGATCTGGGGCTGGGGCTTTTGTTGGACATTTTACTTGCATATTTGCATATCCATTGTTTACATAATGAATATGCAAATAACATGATACTGGTCCGCCAATAGGTGGTGAATGGATTTGTTGGTCCGTGGGATGAAAAAGGTTGGGAACCACTGCGATAGACCTAGAAACACTGTTCTGACTCATGCTAACAGCAACATTCCACCTGGCTACCCCTGTGGAAGAAATCTTCATCATCTGGGTCTTTTCCAAAGTGTCTCATTTCCAGACCGGACCCTAAATTACCAAGATTAAGTGGAAGGCTGGTTGTGTGGTCAAAGTCCATGAAGAATTTTCAGAAAATACATGTCAGGGCCAAATTTTCACAGCGATGTCAGTTCACTCTCTGAAACTTGTGCCTGTGAGTTTAACGAGTGGAAACGGTGGCAACGATCGGTCTCCTGTCAAGGTTAATGAGTCTTTCCATGGACCTTCAGGGGAGCTTTCTGGGAGGTTAGGCTGTTAGATGTGGCTTCTGGGAAGAAATGTAGACATTGTTTTCAACAAAATGGCCCTATGCACATCCTTATTGCACCTCCCTAAACTCTGGTTCAGCAACATCCACGGTCCGGGATCACAGATGTTCCAGGCCAGAGAGCCCCCGAGGCTGGGACTCAGACAGCAGAAGGGTCAGCAGGTGGGAGCTCTGTCTGGTGGGGCTGGCAGCAGCCCGGCAGGGAAGCCACTTGGCACGGAAGCAGTAGCAACTCAGCAGGCAGCCAAGCTGGGACCAGCAGCAGGCATCCTAGCCAGGGCCAGTGGCAGGTGACCAGCTGGGACTGGAGGACTGGCCTGTGGCAGGCTAGGGGATTAGGGAGCTGGTAGCAGGGGACCTCCTCTGGTCTGGCAAATCCCCTCATTTGGGACTAGTCAGGTCCCAAGAGTGCTGGCCCAGGGAGGTCCAAGCTGTAGTATACCGAAGGTCCTGAAAATGGTACAGGATCACCTCTGGGTAGAAGTGATGGCGGAGGGGTGGGGTGTGTCCACCTGTGTAGGGTGGCGGGTGGGTGTGTACAATTAGGAGCATATTTCAATGCTTTCTTTTCACCTTGGTGCCTGCTGAAAAGACCTAACCGACTCTATGTCCGGTCTGCAGAAGCCATCGCCGCAGAGTCGACGAACGCCAGCCTGCAAGGCGGCAACAGCATCAGCTCCTTGTGCTCCATCTGCGGGGACCGCGCCACCGGGAAACATTACGGGGCTTCCAGCTGCGATGGCTGCAAAGGGTTCTTCCGAAGAAGCGTCCGCAAGAATCACGTCTATTCGTGCAGGTATTGAACACGGCGGGGCTTTGCCACTGTAAGCGCCTGGGGGCAGGAACCATCTCTTCCTGCATCTCTGTGCTGTGCCTGGTGCAATGTGGTCTCTGCCTCAGTTTGGGCCACAGGCAGGGAATAATATGAACAAAAATGCAGGTTGCACCTCTGTAAACCTGGACTCTCTCAGGATCAGAGACTCCTGGTGCGCTGCTGGGAGTGGGGGCAGGCGGGCTAGGAGCCCAGTGTCCTGCAGAGGGGGCAGGAGCATGGCGTGCAGCCCAGCTGGGCTGCTTGGGGGATCAGGAAGTTGCCGCACTGCCAGAGGGAGGCATGGGGAGGGATCCAAGAAGCGTGGTGTGCGGCTTAGGTGGGCTGAAGAGGGGGGAAGAAAACTCAGTGGGGGGGCAGGGCAGAGGCTGGGGCAGGCAGCAGGTTGGCCATAAATGACCTCCCCTGGTTTGGCAAAATCCCTCATCCAGGACCTGCCAGGTCTCAAGGGTGCCCAGCCAGGGAGGTCCAACCTGCATAATGAAATCTGGTTTTCTGAGCACAGGATTGGGAGCAGGGAATTCCTGAATTCTAGATCCCTCTCTGCATTTGATACCTTCCGTTCCCTGAAATAGTCCTGGGTGGTTTTTTCCCCTCACTTTCCCCACCGGTAAAGTGGGAGACAATTATATCCCCAGAGAACACGTGAGGACTGGTTAATTTGTGTTGAGCATTAAATATTATTATCGGGTTCTTACGGGTAGTTTTGACCCAATAATCTTAGGCAGTGCCACAGCAGTCGCGAGTCAACGTTCTGCAACCTGGTTTCTAAACAGGGTGAATATTAAATTTTCTTAGTGTTAATTAAAATTAACCCCCTAACCCAGTCACCTCCGAAGCCTGCCCCTTTCTCTTGTCTTGTTTTATTTTTTTTTAACACACAAAAGCTTGCATAGGGCCATACATCAATTATTTTACAGCCCCCCATGTGACAAAAATGGGGCAGCTATGATTCACCCACATTCTGGCAGGCAGGAGTATATGCAAGAGGATTATTTACCAGAAAGGGGTCATAAACTATACAGCAGTTATCTTAGTTGACCTTAGAAAGATGATGTTTACTTACAAGAAGGAACAACAGTATAGGGGATTATTCATAGAGAACTGGCGCTTGGGAAGTTTCATTCTGCTGCAGCGATATTCTTCAGGTAAGGGAGTCCCAGACCTGTAAAAACACTTGCCCCCCTGTTTTGTTGTAGGAGAACCTGCTTATAAGGCATTTGTCACTGCCCGATCTTCCAGCCTCAGAAGTCAGTGGGTTTGGTGGAGTGTACTGTCCCCCATCAATCATCATTAATCCTAGCAGGAAAATGGAAATCTTGTTGGATTTCTCAGAATCTGCTGCTCACGTCTTCCCAAGAGCCACATACCATGTTGCTGTATTATTTTATCCCTTTGGAATCTATGAATCACAGTGTGATACTTAGCATCATAGGGAAGAGCCTTTGACTCAAATCCAATTCAATGACAAGCACCCTCCACGCATCCTGTGAACGGCTAGTTGGGCCATTCTGTCATTAGCTGAGCTGGGAGAAACATTGTTGCCACGTCCTCAGAGAGTTCTTGGGTTGTGAATCAGGCTCTGTGCCATTCTGTGAAACCTCCCCTGCTTTTACAAGGAATGTTTTCTGGCCAGACGGGACCAAGTGGTCCTGGGGCAAGATGTGTATGGTGGTGGCTGTGCACACCAAAAAGGGGCGGAGCCTTGGGCAGAAGAGGCGGGACCTCAGGCAGTCAGCTCACAGAGATGCCCAGACTGCGGCACGCCCCCCCACCACGCCCTTATTGCTGCGTGGGGCCAATGGAGGCTGTCAGCTCCCGTCACCAAGATCATCTTCTAAAACAAACAAGCCAGGGCAAGGGACATGGTAAAAACCAGGCTCCAGCCTCCAGATCTTTTGTTTTTGCCAAAATCTTCAGCAGAAGAAAAACCTTCTGTATTACATCATCTAAAAACTGTGAACCAGAGTCATCTCAAAAGGGAAAAGGGAAATATTTGATTCCAAACATGTCAAAATCAAACAGCTCAGCCTCATCAGAAAGTTCAGCTCCACGTATTGTCAGGGTGAAATGTTAGAATCAGCACAATCCCACCAAACATTTCACTACCGATGCATCAGTATTTTCCAAATCCTGAAATTTTCTACCTGGTGCCCTCTTCACTCATGCCCAGTAGCTAGGACAGTTGCTAGGTTTCTGACAGACCTAGGTTCTAATCCCAGATCTATTAGCAACCTGAGGGGAAGCAGTTTGCCCAGGGTTACCAGGGGCACATCTCTAGTTACCGGAAGATCGACGCTCTGGAGGTCGATCTTCTGGTGTTTAATTTAGTACAGACCCATAAATCAAATGCTGAGGGTAGCTCCTGCCAGCGTCCACAGACCCGTAAATCAAATGCTGAGGGTAGCTCCTGCCAGCGTCCAGTACTCCTCCTTTTGAGAGGAATAAGGGAAGTTGACAGAGGCATTTGCTCCTGTCGGCCTGCCACAGTGTGGATGCACCATGGCTCAGTTTAAGGTAAGCCAACTCCAGTTACACATTTTTCGTAACTGAGGTTGCATAACTTTAGGTGACCTTCCTGGTCTAGTGTAGACCAGGCCTAGTAGGCCTGGGATTAGAACCCATGTCCATCAGAAACCTAGTTACTGTCCTCTTTCCCCTCCCACTCATTGTCCATTTATTTTGTCTATGCTACATCTTAAGTTAATGTAATTTATGTCATTCAAGGGCATAAAAAGTCCCATCCCCTCTTCCCCCCGCAAGCGACACAAATAACACCAGTGTGGACAGCACAAGGCTTTCCCCGTCCCCCAGAAGTTCCTCATAGGCGCCCCTGGTGGTGGGAGAAGACTGTGCATGCGCCCCCTTCTGTCCCCAGGCCAATCAGAGCTTAGGGGCAGGGGAGCATGCAAAGTCTCCTCCCATCTTGCCAGGAGCATGTGGCACTTGTAAGCGCTGTGTGCTTCCTGCTGGGGGCGGGGGAGAGGCAGGTCGGAGGAAACTTTGTGGGCTTCCCCCCACCCCCAGACCCTAATTGGCCTGGGGCGGGGGAGCACCAGGGCCTTCGCAGGCTGAATCAACTCGCTTGGTGGTCCAAATCCAGCCTACGGAGGCCCTTTTGCCCACCCCTGCCTTAGCTTGTACGCTCTCCAGGGCAGGGGCTATATTTCACTACCACCTAAAGCACAATGAGCTTCTGACCTTGCTACGGTAATACACCTACTAATAACTGACAGGGCTTTTCCTCAGTATTTGCCCTCCTTTCTTCAGGTTCAGCCGACAGTGCGTGATAGACAAGGACAAGAGAAACCAGTGCAGGTACTGCCGGCTGAAGAAGTGCTTCAGGGCCGGGATGAAGAAAGAAGGTAGGCGCTGTAAGGTTGTGTGTCCTCTTGCATTTCAAAGGGATGTGCTCTCTCTCTCTCTCTCTCACCCTCCCCCTCAGCAGCAGATATCACAACTGTGACAGAGCAGAAACAGGCAGCTCCCCCCAATGAGACATTTATTGCTATCTCCCTACAGAAAGACCATTATTTATTTCAGCCGCTGGGAGTGCAGGGGCTTTTTTTTTCCCCTTGAAGCAGAAAGACTGTTTAGCATTTATTTTTCTAAAGGAGTGTATAGAAATTGCTTTGCCTCTGTAGAGTTAATTCACTCTACGGTACATAATAATATGAATATGGTAGGATATCCTCCATCACATGCTACAGTGCGAGTGTAGGCTTGTCATCAAAGTAAGAACCGGTGTACCAACGGGTGTTTGGATTCTATATCTAGCTGTACTAGGTGGCTTTAGCAAGGAATTTCCCCCAAAACTTCTATTTTCCATCCCACTTTTTGTCTTATTTATAGAGACTGCAGGTTCCCTTGGGCAGACATTCTCTTACTCCTCTGTTTTGAACTGGAATTGCTAGACATTTCCAAAAATTGCACATCCTGAATTGGGTTAGAGAGACAGACTCTT